TTAATTATCATTGTGAAATGAATATTTACAATCTTAGCAAAAAAAAAATTATGTATTTGATAAATTAATAAATAACTAATTATGATATTAATAGTTAGGGATTATTACATAGAGAAATTTGGGTAAATAGTATTTTTGGACTTCTACAAATGCAATTTTGACACTTTTCAAGAAACCCTATTATTATGAAACCAAATTATACCAGTTATGCGCCCAAAGATTTTGGAACTATCGGCGTAAAACATTTTATGTCTGCCACAAAAACTCTTAAAGTTTAACCTTAGTGTGTATATAAATCATTGTTCTTTCTCTCTTCAACTTTACGTCAAAATCACATATTGAGTACAAATTAATTAGCTATAGATAATAGTCGATTTCTCGTTTCATCAAAAAATAGTCGATTTCTACACACACAAAAAGGGTTATATCCTTAGTGGATAAGATTTAATTTAATATCAAATTTTCGTACGTCGTTGTTCAACTATGTCAAAATCACTAGCTAAATTGAAATTTAGTTTGGGTATGATATACATTAAAACGAGTAAAACTAAAGTATGTATATATTTAAAGACAAAGTAGATTTGTACACACAACAAAATAGAATAAAATATTGATAAGAATAATTGATTTCAAAATTATTTACTGTGTTCAGAACTTCAGATTAAAACATAGCTAGAGAATAGTAGCTTCCTAACACACACACATATCATGCCGTAATTTGCTTTTCTTTTTGGGTTATATTATTTGAGTAGGCAATATAATATAGACCAATGATTGTCTTATCTTTAGTGAGAATAGCATATGGTACCCATCCACCCACTGTGACTCCTCACAACAAATAAAATTCAAATTAAATGTTATGTGTATTAGTGTATATACATATAAATGGTGTATATTAATGATGCATGCATGTATCATATGTGATTATATGTAGAGAGATCTATAAAGCTTCAAAAGAGTGTTTCCTCTAGAAAAAACGACAAAATTCACAGAGAAATCCAAACCAAAAGTAGTTTTGTAACAGAGAGATATATAGAAAGCTCTTGAAGATCTAACCAAAATCTACTTTTGTTGTTCTTCTTTTTTTCCTATATTTTCTGAGTGGTCCTCTATATTGTCACTTGGATCATTAGAGAGGGAGTTACCGATGGATGAAGATGGAAACTTGCAGATTAGTAATAGTAATTACAATGGAGAAGAAGAAGAAGAAGGAGATCCAGAGAACAACACTTTGAACCAACCTCTCCTTAAGAGACATAGAACTCTTTCTTCAACTCCTCTTGCTTTGGTCGGTGCCAAGGTTTCACACATAGAGAGTTTAGATTATGAGTATGTCTTCTTTATCTTCCAGATCTTGATTTTTAGCTCTGTGTCTTAATCTCTTTTATTAAATCTTTGAATCTTTACTCTGTTTTCAGCTAATTTTTTCACAATATTTTTAAAAAATTGTATATTCGGGTCTTAATCTTTGTATAATGTTTTGATCTTTACTCTGTTTTCAGATAAAAAAAAATTCTTAAGAAAAAAATATTTTTGGATGGATTCTTGGTCTTAATCTTTTTTTTTTATTAAGAGTGACAAAAAAAGAAAAAAAAATATTATTCTATAAAGTTTTGAGGTCTACTCTGTTTCCAGATAAAATTTTCACTTTCTAAAAGTATTTGGATGGATTATTGATTTTCATTATCTTTTTTATAAAGTTCCAATCTTACTATGTTTTCAGCTAATTTTCATTTTATAAAACAAATAAAATTGAATGAATTTTGGTTCTCAATCTCTTTCTATAAAGTTTAAAGCTTTATTCGAATTTTCAAAACAAATTTTTGAATGAAAATATTAGTGATGGAGACATATGAACTGTTGTGATACTTCAATTATTTCTCACATTTTCAGTTTGCCGCAAGCAATCATAAACCAATTCTTGAACAAGATCAAGAAAATTGGGTTACCTTTTGTTTATTAGTTGTATGATAAGTCTTGGTCTCAAATCTCTTTCTATAAAGTTTATTTATCTTTACTCAGTTTTCAGATAATCTTCATTTTTATTTAGAAAAAAACTTGTGGAAAATATTCAGTGATGGAGACATATGTGATAATTTTGTATAGATTTTTAAACTGAGATTTTGGATTTCTGCAGAATAAATGAGAATGATCTGTTCAAGCATGACTGGAGAAGCAGATCAAAAACACAAGTGTTTCAATACATATTTCTAAAATGGACATTAGCTTGTCTTGTTGGTCTCTTCACTGGTCTTATAGCTACTCTCATCAACCTTGCTGTCGAAAACATCGCCGGTTACAAACTTCTGGCCGTAGGCTACTACATCGGTCAAGATAGGTATTGACTCATCAGCCAAATCTTGAAAAAAACACAATCAAGATCAAGAAATTGAGTTACCTTGTATGATAAGTCTATGTTTGAAATAGGTTTTGGACAGGTCTGATGATCTTTACGGGGGCGAATTTGGGTCTGACTTTGGTGGCGACAGTACTTGTTGTTTACTTTGCTCCTACGGCGGCTGGTCCCGGGATTCCTGAGATTAAAGCTTATCTTAATGGCATTGACACTCCCAATATGTTTGGTTTTACCACCATGATGGTTAAGGTTTGTTTCTTAAGCTTTCACAGTTCATGAGCTGTAATTGAAAATGAAAGAAAGATTAAAAGTTTGAACCTTCCCGCAAAGTTAATGTGAGATGTTTGTTTGACTGATGGATTCTGCGGTTTTTCGAGTAGATTGTTGGAAGTATTGGAGCGGTTGCAGCTGGACTTGATCTTGGTAAAGAAGGGCCTTTGGTTCATATTGGAAGCTGCATAGCTTCATTGCTTGGTCAAGGTGGTCCAGATAATCATAGAATCAAGTGGAGATGGCTTCGTTACTTCAACAACGATAGAGATCGGAGAGATCTTATAACCTGTGGATCTGCCTCTGGAGTATGTGCAGCTTTCAGGTCACCAGTAGGAGGAGTGCTTTTCGCACTTGAGGAAGTCGCTACGTGGTGGAGAAGCGCTCTCTTGTGGAGGACATTCTTCAGTACAGCCGTTGTGGTGGTTGTACTGAGAGCGTTCATTGAGATTTGTAATTCTGGGAAATGCGGGCTTTTCGGCTCAGGAGGACTCATTATGTTTGATGTAAGTCATGTAGAGGTTAGGTACCACGCAGCGGATATATTCCCGGTCACACTGATTGGAGTCTTTGGTGGCATTCTTGGAAGCTTGTACAATCATCTTTTGCATAAAGTTCTCCGGCTTTACAATCTCATCAACCAGTAAGTGTTTATGATCGGTGAGAATATTCAAGAGTTTTAAAGATTTGTTTTTTACTTAACATTGTTTGGTCAACTTTTGTGTAGGAAGGGTAAGATTCACAAGGTGCTTCTAAGTCTTGGTGTATCTCTATTCACCTCGGTTTGCTTGTACGGTCTTCCTTTCTTGGCGGAATGCAAGCCTTGTAATCCTTCGATAGACGAGATGTGTCCAACAAACGGCAGATCAGGAAACTTCAAGCAATTCAACTGTCCAAATGGTTATTACAACGATCTAGCTACTCTGCTTCTCACAACCAATGATGATGCAGTCAGAAACATTTTCTCTTCAAACACTCCTAATGAGTTTGGTATGGTTTCTCTCTGGATATTCTTTGGCCTCTACTGCATTTTGGGTCTTATCACATTCGGTATAGCGACACCATCGGGTCTCTTCCTACCGATTATCCTCATGGGTTCTGCATATGGTCGGATGTTAGGCACAGCAATGGGGTCTTACACAAACATAGATCAAGGGCTTTACGCGGTTCTTGGTGCAGCTTCACTCATGGCTGGTTCAATGAGAATGACAGTTTCACTCTGTGTTATATTCCTTGAACTCACCAACAACCTTCTTTTGTTACCCATTACAATGTTTGTGCTTCTGATAGCTAAAACAGTTGGAGACAGCTTCAATCTAAGTATCTACGAGATCATTCTCCATCTAAAGGGCTTACCGTTCTTGGAAGCAAATCCAGAGCCATGGATGAGGAATCTCACTGTAGGTGAGCTTAACGACGCTAAGCCTCCGGTTGTAACACTTAACGGAGTAGAGAAAGTCGCGAATATAGTCGATGTACTAAGGAACACAACGCATAACGCATTCCCAGTCTTGGATGGAACAGATCAAACCACTGGTACAGAGCTCCATGGTCTGATCCTAAGAGCTCACCTTGTGAAAGTTCTGAAAAAGAGATGGTTCTTGAATGAGAAAAGGAGAACAGAAGAATGGGAAGTTAGAGAAAAGTTCACACCGGTTGAATTAGCTGAGAGAGAAGATAATTTCGACGATGTTGCAATCACAAGCTCAGAGATGCAATTGTATGTTGATCTTCATCCTTTGACCAACACTACACCTTACACAGTGGTGCAGAGTATGTCAGTGGCTAAAGCTTTGGTGCTGTTCCGGTCAGTGGGTCTCAGACATTTGCTGGTTGTTCCCAAGATTCAAGCTTCAGGGGTAAGTTTGCTTTTGTTAGTCTCTTGTTTACACTACTAATTGTTTCTTAGTTTGATCAAAATGTTTGTTGTGTTGTTGCAGATGTCACCTGTGATAGGGATCTTAACAAGGCAAGATCTAAGGGCTTATAACATTCTACAAGCATTTCCTCACTTGGATAAACACAAAAGTGGAAAACTTCGATGAATAAGCCAAAACTGCAAAGAAGGTTCGCTATTACTTGGTTTGTGTGATTTGTGTTTTCTTTCCACATTCTTAGTTTATATATATTCTGTCCAGTTTTGCTTGCATTCTTTCTTCAAGACCAAAAAAACAAATTATACTATTTGGTAGATTTGTGTGTTTCTACTTGTAAATCTCTATTTTTTTCCCCACATTACGAGTTCAAAAGAAGAATAAAAACAATTTGCATACAGAACAAAACTTTGAAGGTTCCATGGTGTTTCCATGGTTACTTTATTCTCTGATCAACATTTGAAGATAATACTTTATTCTCTGACAGCATTTGAAGAAACTGATGCAAGGATTTTGAAATTAAATTTAGTAAAATTAATCTCCAAGTCATCATTACAAAAGAAAACTCTCTTAACTCATCATATCGACCACAAATGTATGTACAAATTAAATCAAAATTCTTTAGTCGAAAATTGTTAAACGACTAAACTTTGTTGCCAGCAGCTAAGCTCCATACACGCAAGCTCCCACTCTTATCTCCACTGAATAACAATCCTTCAGGACCAATTGTGAGTGTGCCGATCGTGTGCCTCGAGAACATTTTTCCTCTTTCTTCAAAACTGTGTAATACCCCAACAATTACAAAAGAATTAGTGAATAGATAGTTGATTAAAGATTAGAGTAAACTATAAGTAGAGATTAAGCTTCACTTACGATGGTAGATCGAAAATGCCAACTGTTGCATTTTGGTAAGAGCAGAATATGATCGGTTTGGCCTTTGCATCATGCATCCCACAAAGAGCATGAACACTCTGTTCTTGTTTGCGAGTTTGAACAACTTTCAAGCTTCCATTTTCAGAACAAGCCCAAACTTTTATGGTCCCATCCAAGGAAGATGATATCAGACACTTGTCCCAACATAAGAGTGATGTGACAGTGCCGGTATGTTGCTTCAGGGTCATTACACATTGCAGGGTGTTGAGATCCCACACCTTAAACCACAGAAAACAGAATTGATTAGAATGCATTCGAAACAAGATTAAAGATAAAATCAGTTAGTAGCAGTTCGTTCTTACCTTTATTGTTTTATCGACAGAACCAGAGTATAGCAGTTGACCACCAACAACAAAACAAGTGACGTCACCACTATGATGTCCCTCAAGAGATGTCAAGTACTTGAATGGATCAGACTCAGAGTCTGTAGCTTTCCAGACTAATATACTACCAGACTGCAATTCCAAAAAGACCAAAAGGAACTTATTAATTTAGATCCAACAAAGTAGCAGAGAACTAAAACATGTATAGAAAGACAAAGAGAGTAAGTTAAAAATACTTACACTTGTTCCAGCAAAAAGCATTCCGTTTGCAACAGTCATTGCATGCACCTGACCAACCACCCCTTCAAGATGCAAATCTTTACTGGTTTGAACGTTAAAAGCCTGCAGAATTGATAAACAAAAACTTTAACACCAGAACCAACTGAGTTTAACAAAAATAATTAAGCTAATAGAAAGTATATTTGAGTTAAGATGCATTAAACTAACCTTTACAGCGTTTGGCAAGCCAAGGAAAACCCATGGGCCTTCACTGATTAGAGACCCAGCTTCTGCCTGGAGGTTGATGGAATGTACACACTGACCAGAATTGCAGTCCCAAATTCGCAATGTACCATCACTACTGACTGAAAAGAGTTTATCAGAACCCTGAGGGAGGGCGATCCCCTTTAGATCCTTCTTGTGTCCTTCAAGAGCAGCTACCATGGCCAATCCAGGGAAACAAGACCAAGAGTGTAAGAACTGGCACTGCTCACCCCTTTTGCAGTTTCCAGCTTTCCAATACTTACATACACTTCTTTTAGGACTGCTGGTATCTCTCGACCCCCAACCTCTGGTGTCTGAAATAGAAGAGCTCCTTGGCCCATATGCAGCACTCTTCCTCGGCTGGTTTGACACGCAGTTTCCTGTGCCTAAAACTGGTGGTTTTGTTGACCCATTGGCTGCAATCTTCCGTGGCCTGTCGCCCTCTGGTGCCTTGTACTCTTTTGACGTCCAAACCAGATTCCTTGACAAATTATTTCGACCTTTCTTCATTCCACTGTCATACGGGACATAAGGTCTTCTCGTAACTATATCTGCTGCGAAATCTTGCTGTCTGGCAACTCCGAAATTCCTTCCGTGTGAGTATCTCCTTGGCGCCTTGTAATCCATACTAAACATTGAGAAAATACTAACTTTAGAAGACTGAACCACAGAGTCGATAACTGTTGCTTCATCCATGATGATCCATACATAAATTTTCAGAAGGGTAACAAGTCCAGAAGTAAGTAGTTTCTGAATTCCCCCAATCGCTAGAAGTACGAAGAGAATCAAAACCAACAATCCTCTGTCTGTAACCCTAAATTCAATCCAGGTATCGTAGAGCATCACGTCCACACAAAAACCAAATAAATCTCTAATTTCACAATCACCATTCAGTATCCTAACCTAAATGCCACTAAACACCGAAAGAGTTCTTCAATTCCAAACAAACCATAGTCGACGATCAATCATCCGAGTTTCAAAGTATCAAAACCCTAAATATAACAATAACAACAAAATCTAAAAACCCCAAGAAGAGAAGATCTAGCTCCGACGAATGTACATAGAAGAGAAACTCGAATCCATCATCCTTATCGGTGAACCCTATATTTCCTTCCATTAACCGGTGGAAACCCTAGATTTCTGGGTATCGATGCGAATAGGAGGATCGAGAATCGAGGAGATGAAGAAACCCAACCCAAAGTGAAAGCAGGAAGAAGACATCATCATAATCGTAGTCGAAGAAGAAGCAAACCTGAGAGATCAAACGTATGTAGAATCTAGATCTTCGATTAGGGAACGATTTCGAACGAAGATCGTAGAGAGCCAAAAAGGAAATTTTGAGACGGAGGAAAAAAAAAGGGTAAAGAGTCGAATGAATTAATACTCTCTGGGCTTGTGGGGAATGTGTGTATTTATAGAATTCTTGTAGATGAGCGTGGCGGTTACGCTACAATAATTTTATATTGGGCTTAACTTAGGCCCATCATTCCAATTAATGTTAAAATCTATAACTAGGTTAGGTCATAAACCCTAAGATCTTCTAAAAAAAATGTTAAATATATTAATCAACATGTGAAATATGGAAATTAGTGAAGAGAAGAAATGGAAATTTTCATACGATTTCCAAAATCATGTATAAAAGGATTGGTTATGTCTTTTCTCCGCCGGTTTAGAAAACTAGCATTCCCTATTTCTTATCCCAATCACTTTTTTAAACCAAAACAGAAAATTAGTAATTTCTAAATTAATCAGAAAATTAACTTAAGTTTTCAAAAGTAATTCGAGTAAGCAATAAAAGCTTCATAAATCATAAGAGAATGGTTCTTTAGTACAAAGACATACACGTGCCTCTAGTGTCGCTCTAGTCATAGAATTTAGGCTGTTTCAATGCATCTGTTTTTGCTCGAAACCGGTCACAGTGTTGAGTGGTGACTACTGGTCTTCCTCGTCGGTGCCAAAATAACGATCGCCAAACTCACCTAAGCCCGGTATAACTCGGAACTCTTGGTTCAGACACTGGTCTATTTCAGACGTCACTATCTTCAATGCTGGAAAACGTTTGCAGACACAGTGGATTCCCTCCGGCGCCTGTCAGAAAGCAAGGCCATCATGAGAGAGGGGGTGAGAGAGAGAGAGAGAGAGAGAGAGAGATCTTTAGCTTTTCTATTCACGGAGAGATAAAGATCGATCTTTAGCTTTTTACACTCACCGAGATAAGGTTGAGGAATATAATGTGAGATTCAGGAACTCCTTTCTGTATGAGTAATTCAATGGCTTGATTTGCAGAGTTACCTTTAAGAACAAGCAATATCACGAGATATGGATTCAGCAAAACAAAAATCCATCAGTAACACTATAATAAGTATATGCAACGTAAAGAGACTTGGTACCGGTGGCTAAGACAGGATCTAGAAGCAGGACATGCCGTTCAGAGATGTCGTGAGGAAGCTTCTCATAAATAAGCTGATTTAAAGGACAAGAGAAACTTTAAAATTCTTGTTTATAAAAACAGAGCAGAATATTAATTAGCAGACCTGTTTTCCATTGTCGCCATCACGGTGGATGAGAATCTTCCCTATTTTAATTCCTTTGCAGCAAGCGCGTAATGCATTTTCCATGCTTTCACCACTAGGAAAAACATACAAAACAGAAAACTCTTAGGATAGATAAGTTAACCGCAAACAAGTAATGTATGCCTTCCATGATGTAAAACATTTGGAAGAACAAGCATCTTATCATATCAAACTTAACCAAATACAATACCTTTCAAAGGCTCACCTTCTAATAATTGAGACCCCACAAAGTTTCTTGCAGAAATCAACACCGGTATATACAGCTCCTGGTGTGGAAAAGATAAGAAGTTTAAACCAGTTGAATAAGCTAACTCTAGCTAGATCAACGTGAAGGAGACGGACATCTGATGACTTAGTTATATAAGAAAGTGTAAACAGTATTGTTACAGCTCATGCATTCTCTTCACATACCTGTTGGAGTAACTACTTGTTTCTCAGTGAATGGCAAATGACCAAGACCATGCTCCACGACCTGAAATTAAACCGATATTAGTTAAAATAAGAAAGCCTGAAAAGTGAGTGACGTTGAAAGAGAATACATAAGGCAGAGAAATACCAGACGAATGAGTCGATCTGAATAAAACACAAAGTCATGCTTTGATATGTCCTTCTCCCGAATAAGTGTATGCATGCCTCTTATCTGCAATCATGATCCTATAGTGAGACCATTGATAACACTTACCATCTAAATCAAGTATCAAAGAGAGCAAGAGAGAGAAAATACCTGAAATGTTGACTGGATGACGTAAACATTTGGGTAGATTTTGCAGAGATCATGCTGCCCAAGTTTTGTGTGGATATGTTGCGTAATCAAATCGACTGCAACGTGATTATCACCTCCTCGAGGAATGATCACGTCAGCATATTTCTTTGAGGGGAGCACAAAGTCATCAAATGCCGGCTTCACAAACTTTGCATACTGTAAATGAACGTAACATCCTCAGACAACAAAATTTAAGCACATGAGAAGCTCAGAAGATAAAATAGATGTTTTACAGAGGAGCATCTCAAAGCATGGAATAAGAACACAGAGTTATCTAGTAAATAACAACAGTAGGAAGCAGAAAGGAAGAAGAAACCAGAGAAGAGACACAATGAGATGTTCCCTAAAGCAGAATTTCCATGTATTATTACCCATGTCTCGTAGTCACACACATAATAAAGCCACCTAAGTAGGATAGATGAACCTATGCTTACAAATCCTACAGCATAAATCGAAAAGAGGACTGACCTGTTCAAGCACAGAATTGACATCCCTACCCCTTTCAACTGTGTCACGCCTGATTCTGCGAGCAAGCCTTACATCAGCATCTGAAACCATTTAATAGCTTATGATAAGGACTAGAGAGATGTGAAATAGATTCCAAGGAGATGGAAAATTTTGATTACAAAATATCATTTCCAGGTATACAAAACTAATAAGGTTATCCAAAGAGTGAAAGACGATGAGTAGCGCAAGTCATATGCATGCTTTGGGGAAACGAAAAGGCATAGCAGTTGATAATACTGAAGGCAAGGTTGGTCATTACCTGTATCAACAAATATCTTCATATTCATCAGATTCCGAACTCGTGAGTCATGGAAAACTAGAATCCCTTCCAATATTATAACATCAGAAGCATTGACCTGACAGAGGCTCCCAACAGATATTAAATTAATAAATAAATAATTATCATCCACTGCAAGACAGGAATAAACTCATTCTTTTTAATGAAGAGACCTGATCGCAGCTTTGAATATGAAACTAAATGGGAATGAATATATGCTAATAAGCCCATTAAGTTAAAATAGGAACACATAAATAAGAGATTCAAATCACATGAGCACAATAACCACAATAATGGGGTCTTGGACAGAAGAGTAGTAAGCACCTGGCGGAAAGTATCAGATCTACGTTGATGGGTCTTAAAGTCGTAGATTGGAACTTGATAGGGTTGCCCGCTCTTGAGAGTCACAGCACAATGCAAAAGCTGCTCGGTGTCAAAAGCATCTGTAAAAGAATACCAAATGCTGATGTGAGCTGAATCGCCGTGTACTTAAACCAAATTACAAGAAGTGAGAAAAATTCAAGATAGTTTACCGGGATGATCAAAGTTGTACTCTTGCACACGCTGCAACTCCTCAGATGTCAAACCACGATAAAAGGAATCCTAACCAACAAAAAAAATCAAACAATATATGATGTGAATCTCAGCTAATCAATACAGAAGAAAGTGGAACATTGAGAACAAGATTGAAGCAAATAGAATCAAACCTGATTAACTAGAACAACACGATGGTCATGAAGTTGCTGGATTATCATATCGCAGACCGTGGTTTTACCGGAAGCCGTACCACCGGAAACCCCTGTCAAAAGACAAAACGTCAAAAAAAAAAAAAAAACTGAAATTTATGCGAAAATCGATAATCTTATACAATTGAAACCAGATTAGTTCTGTTAAATCTCAGGAGCACAAAATGCTACCATAGTCAGAGGTTCTATCATCAAAACCCTAGATTTAAACGAAATTAGTGCAGAAAAAAATCTCAAAATCAAGAGAGACAGAGCCCAATTTCCCAAATTTGATAAAACCTAATCAACGCTAGAACGAAACGGGGATGTAGAAATCACCGATAATGAAGGGCTGTTTGGGAGCGTCGGGATCGGAAGAAGCCGGAGAAGAAGAAGAAACAGCTGATCGGAGGTGAGAAAGTGAAGAGACGACGGAGGAATTGGGTGGAGAAGAAGAGAGAAGGCCGTCGAAGCGAAGACCGGAGAAGTGAGGCCCCGATGCCTTCTCCATCGCGTAGTCTATTGAAGTAGAATCCTCCGGCATTGGATTCCGATGAATCGGTGGTTGCAGAATTTGAAATTTGTGATTTTTCCGGCGAATCGAAAAAAAACAGCTCCGTAGTGAAGACTGACAAGTGACAACGATTCTGTTCAACGCAAAAATATCAAACCTTTGTTTTGTTATTTTATTTAGGATTTAGATAAATAGTACTCCTTCTATTCCTAGTTATTTGATGTTCTACAGTTTTAGTTTGTTCCACAAAGTTTGATTTTTTAAATTTTTGTTTTATTTTTAATTGATTAAAATTAATATATCGTAAACTTTAAGACGTAATGATTAACTGTTTTCATTTGATTTTAGCCACTTTTAGCTAGGTAGAGCTGTCAAGCGGGTCAAATCCGCTCCGCGAGACCCGCTCCGCAGCGGGTTTCAAAACTTTTGACACTTCAAAAATCCTCCCCGCAAAATTCGCGGGAGAAAATATTAGACCCGCATCCGCCCCGCTTAATTTCACGGGAGCCGCGGGTAACCCGCGGGCTTTTAAAAACTTACTTTTTAAATATTTTTAAATTATATTTAAAACAAAAATCTAATTAATAATAATTTTAAATATAAATACACATATTTTTTAAGAAAAATTTAATTTTTTAATTATTTTATATATATTACAAATTATTTTAATATTTTACAACTATATATTAGATAAATTTATATATAATTATATATTTTATTTTTTTTGAAAAGCCGGCGAGACCCGCGGGATTATCCGCAAAAACCCGCAATTTATAAAACCAACCCGTACCCATCTCGCTTTTTGCATTTTGAAATTTTTAGATCCGCACCCACCCCGCAGAGGGGCGGTCGGGGCGAGGCCCACGGGCTTTGCTTCAAATTGACAGGCCTACTTTTAGGCCTATAAATTTAAATTTTTTGATAATTTGATTCGTATTCCACCACATTTTGGTGATGATAATTAAATAAGAAAACAAATAAATAGATTTACATTTTGTAGAAACTACAAAATGTAAATCTATTTATTTGTTTTTTTTATTTAATTATCATCACCAAAATGTGGTGGAATAAGAATAAGGAATATCCTACTACTTTTTTACTTCCATTTTATACTAATCAACTAAGCTCCACTTGTTATCAGAAAATGTACAAGAGACCAAAAAGGTCCAAAAGTTGATAAGTTTTTTCTTGTCTAAGATAATTGCTTTATTATATTTTTAAAATTATAATTATCTTAAAAATTAACTTTAGTTTTAAAAGCTACATTTTTAAGAAAATTAAAATTATAGTTATTTTATGGCAAAATATATTTAGGGATTTTATGATTTAGGGGTTGATGGGTTGCGATAGTTTGCAATTGTACGTATGTAATTCATAGCGTTTTTAAAAACGATATAAATCAAAACATATATCTTCGAGCGTTTGTAGTAACTAAAGATGTTTGGATTTCTTAGTTTTCAGTAATTTTCATGAATATTATTATAAAATTGCAAAAAATAAGTTTCTTAAAGTCTACAAATTACTTTAATAAAACAAGAAAAAAGAGTATGCATTTTGATTAGAATTGACCGGTGATATTAATTTAAACAACTAGCCTTTTGACCATTACTAATATACCAACTTAGAAACATGTTTCAAATTTCATCAGAAATGATCCAAAAACTAACTTTTAAAAAATCGTAAAAACGCTTCTCTTCGTCTAAATCATTGTTTATGGTTTTCATCACATCATCAAGCAAATAACCTGTAAAATTACTATAGCTGAAAGTTTTCAGATTTTCATAATAAAACATCCAAACTTTCAATCTCATTTCACATGAATTTTCTTCTTCTTCTTCCTTCTCTTCTCCATTAAACTTCCTTTAAAAGACGAGAATCTCGGAAGACAACGATGGTGATAGTTCAAAGATTTAAGATTCTTCTTCTCTTCTACAGAATCTTCAATGACTTTGAGCTCACCAAAGTTATCACCTGATGATTTTTTACTCTTTTCACTTTGGTTTTCTGATGGCTCTTCCAAATTTTCCTCTCGTTCTTCTCTTATACTATCTCTAAATAGTTCGCCTAGTTTCTTCCTCCGCGGTGCAGGAGAATGCGAGAACGATACTCGAGGCTTCTCTCCTTCGAATAAAGGGTTGTGAAAACGAGGAAGCTTCTCTGAGAAACTACACTTTGGAGTGTTTCCAAGTGATGGAGTGAAATCTACATGAACAAGATCTCAAATCTTGAGTTTACAATATCAAAGTTATTAACCTAAGTTATATTAGGGTGTAATAAAATGTAACAAACCGCCATGAACGCTGTAGAAATCGTCTTCAGAATCGGATTGTAGCCACTGATGTGAATCAAAAAAGGTTTCATCTTTACTACTTCCTGTCACATTGGAACAACATAAACATTTCAAGACTTCATAAAAATAAATGAACACAATTCATGTGTAAGAAACCACTCTCTAAAGCTCTAACCTCGGAACACAAATCTTACTTCACTATGAATTCTCCAATTCACCGGGCAATAAAATTCAAATTTTCTAGAACCCATCAAATGAAAACCCGAAATAATCACTGCTTTTGGGAATTTAAATCACTATTTAAGCATCCATGATCCATTAGTGGAATAATTCTAATTAGGAAAGCTCAATCTCTCTATTTTGTCGGGAAGAAAAGCCAATGATTAGATCAATCCAATTAAGAAGATGATATGATTATGATTTTCATATAAACAAAATTCGTTATTCTAATCTATTAATGGAAACAAAATCAATTAAATTAACGTTAAGAATTCAAGATAATATCTTACTACAAAGAGCTCAATTATAATATTTTAGTACCATTAACCATATTAATCCAAAGAGGTAAGTAATAAACTTATAACAAGTTGTTATATATAGATTAATTAAGCTAAAAGGAAAAAGAAAAAAAAAAAAAAAAAAGAGATTATGAAAGCAAGTATACCAAAGCTTCTCTTAGAAGAAGAAAACGACCATCGAGATTTCACTTGAGCACTTAAACCATTAGCCACCGTCAACGGAGTAGCCGCCGGAGCTAAATTCTCCTTTTCCGGCGATTCTGAGGGTACAGTATGAATCAACTCATATATACGTACGTATTTATACGAAATTGTGTATATATAACACAATTTATTACCAGAGATTTCTCAGACAAAGAAAATTAATACCAGACTTGTTCCCAAAAAAAAAAAAATTAATACCAGATAATTTCTCAGACGAAAAAAATGGTTTTTCCGTAACACCAACATTCTCCTCCGCCGTCACCGGCGAATTATTCACCGGCAATGAGTCATTGCTTATCATAGTGGGCAGTTTCACGAGCTTAAACTCACGGACGCGTCACGTTCCCAAATCTAAGGTATCGATTATAGACGCAAAACTTTTTAAAGATTTTGATTTCGTGAATTGACGTTGACACGTATTGCCTCGCACGCAGTTGAAGATATTTGGCCGGCCGATGATTCTTGTAACTTAGTCGGAGAAGCGTTGTGGATCCCACGAAGATATTATGGAGCCCACTCAGCTTTCCACGTGTCTCACTCGAGAGAAATGCACGATGTCGTTTTGTTTCGCTTCACGTTGATCTCGTGCGGTTTTTGCCTTTTTGGAATGACGTGGCAGCTATATTCATCAAGTCTATAACGTTGACTATTAGTATAATAGTAGTATCTTCCTTTGAAACTTCAACTGTTTGGTAAGACATTTCCTAATTACTTTTTTTTTTTTTGTACTTTGTTTGAATGTGAAAATGATAAAAGAAATGCAGTGTAAGTTATTTACAAGCATTTGCTGGAAAGATGAAATTTGTTTATCTTAGACTAAATCTAATTTTTATATTTTGACTAGAGAAATCTATGAAATTCGTTTTTTCTTCCAAACTCATTGATTAAATAACACACAATTTTAACATGTCCCAAAATTAGTAAAATCATTGAATGAAAATATCAAATTAAATTTAAGAGTCTAACATTGCTTTCGATTCTGAAATTTTCAATTTGATTTGAGGGATTAAAAGGATTGCGTATTTGCATATACTATAGGTTATTGTTTGCTTCTAGATCAAAGGGTAAAGCTAGAGTTGGGTAGAGATTATGCTAAGCCTCTTCTCAAATTTCGTATTTTGCTAAGGAAATTTGTTAGATCCATAAGTAAGTAAAAATCTCTGGACTTAACATTGTTTCTTGTGTCAAACGTTATATAAAACCACACTATTGTTTTTGATTCGTATTTACTAGTTCTACGTCCAACAACGAGATGATGGAACTAGATTGTAGTAGAGAGGAGTATGTAAGATCAAACATAGGAATCTCCAAAGATAAACAGAATCCAATAAACTAACCCTCATGGGTTAAAAGAGAACGGCTACAGAATTTGGAGAGAAAAAGCCAATTATATATCAGGAGATAGATGGAACTGATGCATTTTGATTTAAAAGTACTTGGTCACCTGTGAAAGATGCACTAGTTAAAGCCCATTAACCTTTCGGTTTGGTGTTGATAGGATAGGATCAACGTCTGAAATCATGCCAAACCCAGAACTACTTCCATTTCCAAAACCACTAGATCAGCTCAAGTCATTGAAATTACTTTCAAGTAGAGATCCCATATTGAACTCATGCCAAACGCATAACCATTTCCAAAACCACTGGATCTGCTCAAGTCATCAAAACCATTTCCTCTGCATCCATTTCACAATACTGCTTCACCTCAACAAGTGTCACACTTTTATTGTGCCCAAGAGATATGACTTCATCAAATGCAAATATCAACTCAAAAGCAGCCCTGCCAAATCCCTTGTTCATCTAAAGACATGGAAGACTCATGCACCTAGACACATGATTTCAAACGAAGATAAAGTGCTAACAACATGCAATAGACACACTCACTTTTCAAAAGAAGAAAGACGCATACAAGTTTGGAGAGCATCATGGCTCGTGAGTGTGTGATACGATTTAAGGAAGAAGAAGAAGAAGAAGAGAAAGTCATCACAAGTGTTGACTAAGTTGACTTGGCAAATGAGGGCAAAGACTCTTTCACTATCAGAGGCTTTGCCGTTGAAACTCTTCTTCTTTAAATAGAGACTTGATTGCTACAGAGAGATTATGCTTTTGATGTTGAGAGTTCTCGTGAGAGACTTTGGCCTAGCGATGTGCTAGAAGAGAGATCAATGTTGATCTCTGTGTAATCGTTGCTTAGATCTATGTTGATTTGAGTATAACGATTCTTATCTTCTCTTTGTGGTTACGTAATCGATTCTATAATATCTATCAAGAGTTTACAGAGTTCAAGGTATTGAAACCTTAACAATGGTGCGGTGAAACTGGTTCGAATCTCACGCAATGTTGAGTTTGGGGGATTTGAAACGAAAGCTTGATTCGATGGAGACGACTCGATCGAAGGTGCAATCCATGGACGATACGTTGCAGACGATGGTTTCTGACTTGGAGGGATTGGAATCACGATCGTTTTCCGGTGGCACAAAGCAGATGGAGATTCATCGTTCATCGCGAAAAGGACAACATGACCAACCAGAGTTCGAATCTAAAACTATGAAGAAATTGGGTGAATCGGCGTCGTAAATTTCAAAAAACAGTGGATCCATGAACGCAACGATGAGTTGTGTTGAGGTTCCGGTGTTTACTGGTGATGATTTGCGGCCATGGATTGATTGGATGGAGCAATACTTTGCTCGCTATGATGATTTCACAGATTTGCAGAAACAGGCAATGGCTTATGGATTCATCGAAGGAGAAGCTTTATCTTGGTATCATCAGAGACAGAAGGTGATGGTGTTCCAATCCTGGGATGAGTTGAAGCAGAATATGTTGTTGAAGTTTGGACGCATTGACGATCCGGAGAGGATCAAAGTAAGCACAGAGAACGACAAGGAATTGCAGAGATTCTTAGCGATTCTTCGAAACGATCGTCTATGGAAGGAACAACGAGAATCTCCAAAGATTCAGGTGGTAGCATCGTTTTGTGCACAAGAACAGATTGCAACAAACACTTCGATTCAAGAAGCAGAAGCGATTAGTGCACAAGAATCAGTAGGTGGAAATTCTTCGATTTCAGAGCTTGAATCAGAGGCAAAGGAATCAAATATGGAGATTGATGGTGTTTCACAACTGAAGGTATCGATATCACTATTGGAACCTAGCTTTAAATTTAGCAATGATTCATTGGATGTCATGGATGCTTTCTCATCTGTGTTCTTTGAGCAATCACAAGTTGTCGATGCTTTAGAAATGGTTGAGATTTCAGAGATGTCTACAAGTGTTAAGACCACACAGTGTGCACTCCAACTGTTCGATAAAATGCTTATGGGAGACGGAAGAAGGAAGCAACATTGTAAGCTGCGACAATATCCTAAGGCTTGGCGATTTAAGTTCAAAACAAAGTCAAGAATTCAACAGCTCAAGGATTATTGTTCGTTTGCTCAAGTTAGATTGGTAAGGAAGAATAAAACATTTCAGAGCTTGAGACTAAAGAAGCACGCTCATATGTCAAGGGTTCTATGTAAATTGAGGATGTTGCATGATCCAGGAGGCATGAAACAGCTTATACATGGTGATATGAAACCTAAGTTCTTATGTAAAGTAGAATCGGGGGATGACACTGGTATTGCACAAGAAGTATCAAAAAACAGATACATCCAAGGACACAAACAGATTGTTGGGACTAACAAAAAGCATCCCATTTTGTGTAGGATAGCAATCCAAGCACATCCGTTTACTCTTTCCAAGCTTGAGGGCAAGCTTGTTTTCAACGGTGGAAGTAATGGGGAGGCTGCCACAGGTTTAGGAAATGAGATGTTTATGTTTCTTCAGAGTTTTCCACTGTGTTTTTGGACAAGATCGGGACTGGAAATTCATGGTGATATGAAGCTCATGTTCCTTTCTGCATGCGAATCAAGAGAAAGTTTCCGAGATAGTTTTGTTACACCTATACTACAAGTTGGTCTTGAAGAGATAGAGCTTCAACGACTCCAAGATAGTTATGTTGTGTATGTGTTGAGCAATATTGAATCATCACTTAGGAGGCTGAAGGAAAGAAGTTCAAACTCTTGGAAATTTACATACAAACATGAGTCAGAAGGAATACAACAACATCAAAATCAGTTTGGACCGAGAGAGCGTGATGAGGATATGAAACTCTACATGAAGCACAAATGGCGATCTAAGAGACTACATTCATTTACAAGGGATTCATGGAACAATGATTACTGTGCAACCAAGGCCATACATATTCAGAAGAGGATGACGCAGACACATATGTCACTGTTGCTGTCTAAATGGAGGTTTCGACAAGATTCCAGGGACCTGACACATCTTGGGATTGCAAGACTCCAAGTTTGGTACCGTTGCAAGAACAAAGCTGGGAAGTTACAACCATTTTCAGAACTAATGATGTGGGGTTTTGTCCATTCTCGGTCCGGCGAAGGGATCGGCTTCTTGGGATTAGTTAATGCATTTTTAGTTGCAGCTAATGGAGCCTTTATTATTGATGCAGCAGCAATATCACTCTCTTCACAGTCTATTGGAGTACAACAATATAGGACAGTGATGTTCTTGTGTATGGGTATCCAACATTTGCACATGAGACTACTTACTTGGATGACTCTAAAGGATGGGATGATGGGGCTGTGTTCCAGTGGGTGTGCTAGATGTGTTTTTGAGAGGTGTCACAGGCTTACGCACAGAACAAGGGAGGACCAGTCGACAAGTGCCTTGCACAATTTCAAGAAACAGAAGTTTCGCAAGGCATGGAAATTCAAGTTTAAACAGAAGGCATACAAGAGAGACTGGGCTGCATATCAGAAACCTGTGGCAATACAAATGATTCAGAAGCTGGTCGTTTATTTCTTTCTTTTACAAAGCTTGAGGACAAGCTTGTTTTCAAAGGGGGAAGTATTGATACGATTTAAGGAAGAAGAAGAAGAAGAAGAGAAAGTCATCACAAGTGTTGACTAAGTTGACTTGGCAAATGAGGGCAAAGACTCTTTCACTATCAGAGGCTTTGCCGTTGAAACTCTTCTTCTTTAAATAGAGACTTGATTGCTACAGAGAGATTATGCTTTTGATGTTGAGAGCTCTCGTGAGAGACTTTGGCCTAGCGATGTGCTAGAAGAGAGATCAATGTTGATCTCTGTGTAATCGTTGCTTAGATCTATGTTGATTTGAGTATAACGATTCTTATCTTCTCTTTGTGGTTACGTAATCGATTCTATAATATCTATCAAGAGTTTACAGAGTTCAAGGTATTGAAACCTTAACAGTGTGTCAAGATCTTCAAGAATGTACCCTACTTAGTTGTAACAAGAAGCAGGAACAGAGATATATATCGCACATTCTCTGTCTCAATATAGTTGGAATCAAATTTTGTGTATATCATTTAGTTAATTCATTCTTAATGTATATATGGAATTTCGAGTATATTAATTGAGTGTATAATACATTTTCTTTGTTAAATATACTTTTTGATGGTTAAGATTTTATAGTTTTGTTTGTTTATTTAAAAAGAATTAAACAAATTCAATAAAATAATTTTATGTCAACAAATTTTAATTTTGAAAAGTTTTAACAGAAAAAGTTAAGCTTGATTCTAACTAAATTATTTACATACTTGATATTAACAAACAAAACTTGATATTAACAACAAAAAAAATTAATTTTGAATAATACTCTCCTTTTTTTTTCAAACGTGAGAATGTGTGATCATGTTTCTAGGAAAAGATGTATTTGTAATTCAAACGCTTTTATTTTTCTCTAAACGCTCCATTATTGATGTAGCCGTTATTGGCGTTTGCGTTTAACGTTCGCAATGCGCGACACACTTATATAAGCACCATATCAAAAGTTCTAGAAGGTTTCCATTATTCTCTAAAACTCTTTCGTCGGCGAATTTTGAAAATTTTCTCTGTAAGTTTCTTCTTAATCGATTCTTCACTTTCTTCTGATTTCGTTTAGGGTTTCGCTTATGATTTGATTTTGTGAAATCGATGATTTATCTCTCTCTTCTGTTAGTAATTCTCTTAGTCGATGTTTAGGGATTCAAAGTTTCAAAGTTCTTTCTCTTGTTTTACTCGATTTCAGTAAAATTAGTCGAAGATTTAAGTTTTTCTCTTTGGTAGATTTCATCGGATTAACTATTTAGGGTTTCAGAATCTCCATAGCCGTTTTTCTTTCTCTCGTTTCTTTTTTGGTTAACTCGATTTCACTAAAATTGATTGAAGATTTATGTTTGTTGCTTCGAATTAACTTCTTAGGGTTTCTTTTCTGTAATCGTTTTTGGTTACCAAGTTCCTTCTCTGGTTTCTGTTTTAATTTACATGATTTATGAGTACAATTTAATTAATCAGAGATTTCTGGGTTTTTTTCTTTCTTTATAGGTCGTATTCTTCTTCACAGAGAGTTTCTGGAGGATTCTTTGACACCAATCTACTTAATCTCTTCAGGTAGAATCTCTAATTTGTGGTTTCCAGTTTCATAATCTCTTTGGTGATCTAAAACAATTGAAATTGAAATTGGTATCAAATCTTTGTTTAACAATATTTTTTTGTTGCAGTTCGTATAAGAAGAATCCTTCCTCTGTGATTACAGAGAGTTTCTCAAGGATCCATAAAGTTGCAGTTTTCAGGTCAACATAATATCTTCAGGTAAAATCTCTAACTTGTGTTATTGTGTTTCAACCCCAAAAGATTAGACATACGGCATTATTTGTTGCCTCTTGTCTTAATCTAACTTGGGAAGATTTGTCCCTCTTTGGTGATCTAAACTTTGTCCTGAAATTGAAAAGATAGTACACACGGCTTGGAAAGATTTTAATAAAAACCAACGGCTTAAACACAGTCACATTGTGTCTGTAATACCCACGGCTTAAATAGAGAGACAATAGTCCTGAAATTGGAAAGATAGTACCCACGGCTTAGACCCTTTTCTCGGTTCAAAATCAAAGGGGGTATGGGAATTGCAAAATCCCCTAAAGCTTATCACACAACCTGGAATGTGTGAGCTCTATCATTAGAGCTGTCCCATCGGAGCTGGTATCATTCGAAAACAAAGGGGTATGGGAATTGCAAAATGCTCCCTGAAAGCTTAAGATTGTGAGCTTTAAAGTTAAAACAGTCCCTAAAGAGGAAATGAGAATAGCAAAAGCCCCTAAATGGGGAATAGCAAAAACTCCCTATCTCGTCTGATTTTTGGGAGCTCTTTAACTAGAACACAGCCACATTGTGTCTGTAAAAAACCCACGGCTTAGTTCCTTATTCGGTTCGAAAACTCCCTAACTCGTCTGATTTTTGGGAGCTCTTTGACTAGAACACAGCCACATTGTGTCTGTAAAAAACCCACGGCTTAGTCCCTTATTCGGTTCGAAAAACTCCCTAACTCGTCTGATTTTTGGGAGCTCTATGACTAGAACACAGCCACATTGTGTCTGTAAAAAACCCACGGCTTAGTCCCTTATTCGGTTAAAAAAAACTCCCTAACTCGTCTGATTTTTGGGAGCTCTATGACTAGAACACAGCCACATTGTGTCTGTAAAAAACCCACGGCTTAGTCCCTTATTCGGTTAAAAAAACTCCCTAACTCGTCTGATTTTTGGGAGCTCTATGACTAGAACACAGCCACATTGTGTCTGTAAAAAACCCACGGCTTAGTCCCTTATTCGGTTAAAAAAACTCCCTAACTCGTCTGATTTTTGGGAGCTCTATGACTAGAACACAGCCACATCGTGTCTGTAAAAAAACCCACGGCTTAGTCTCTTATTCGGTTCGAAAAACTCCCTAACTCGTCTGATTTTTGGGAGCTCTATGACTAGAACACAGCCACATTGTGTCTGTAAAAAACCCACGGCTTAGTCCCTTATTCGGTTAAAAAAAACTCCCTAACTCGTCTGATTTTTGGGAGCTCTATGACTAGAACACAGCCACATTGTGTCTTTAAAAAACCCACGGCTTAGTCCCTTATTCGGTTAAAAAAACTCCCTAACTCGTCTGATTTTTGGGAGCTCTATGACTAGAACACAGCCACATTGTGTCTGTAAAAAACCCACAGCTTAGTCCCTTATTCGGTTCGAAAAACACAAACCAGCAGGAGCTGATTCTTTGGTTTAAAATTTTTAACAGAGTATGTGCATGAAAGGCATCAACCCATATTTTACAAATGTACTAACGCAGCCTTTCTTTTTCTTCCAGATATTTTTGGAGACTCATGAAAGATTTCAAAGTGTCTGTGGACTTCAAGATAGGTATGTGTTTCTCCTAAACTTGCATTTAATTAGCTTATATTGTTAAAAACTTAAATAATGGCAGAAAGTGAAGATTTTGGCAGATATTAAAAACATCTACAACAAGATAATTTATCGTAGTCAGGTAATCAATTTAGATATAAACGTAATCATTTATTTGACAATCTTTCTTTTTATTAATTTGATCTGTGAAGTTGTAGGTGAGACATGTGAGTGATGTTTTGAACTAAATCACAACTCAAGTAAAAAAGCACGTAGCTGCTTGAAAGAGTGTCCAAATTCTTGGAGAGTAAGAAGATTTCAAGCATAGAAATTTCTCAGGTAAGTAAACCTTTTAGTTCTAACTTTTTTATAATCGTTGAAATAGATATTCATTACTTGATTAGTATTGTTAGGAACAATTAGATGTGAGAGTATTGGTGAGGCCTATTGATTTTATTGGTTGCTTTATGGTCTATTTCATGGGCCATGATTTATGCTTTTAAGTCATGGCTTGATTCTTCTGGAGAGTAAGAAGATTTCAAGCATAAAAATTTCTCAGGTAAGTAAACCTTTTAGTTCTAACTTTTTTATAATCGTTGAAATAGATATTCATTACTTGATTAGTATTGTTAGGAACAATTAGATGTGAGAGTATTGGTGAGGCCTATTGATTTTATTGGTTGCTTTATGGTCTATTTCATGGGCCATGATTTATGCTTTTAAGTCATGGCTTGATTCTTCTGGTAGTTGCATCAGCTTATGTGCCTTGATTTAATTTTTTTCCTTGAATTATTGTTTGGAGACTTTAATATACTCGGTGATGCATAGTCTATGATTCGAACCCATGACTTGAATTATTTTCGTTGTTGCATGATATATGCTTTGAATCTGAAGCTTTGGCTTTGATTTGTTAGTTGTTACATCATACATGATTTTTATCTACTTGGATCTGTGTAATGTTAACTGTGTGGTCTAATGCTAACTTGAATATATTGGTTACTTGGGTGGTATATTCTTTGTAGCTATGACTTGATTTGGTCGGTTTGTTGTGTAGTCTTAGCATACTTGAATCTGTTGATTATTACGTTTCCTTACCTGATTGTGTGATGTTTGGAGACTTGAATATACTCATTGCTGCATTGTCTATGATTAGAACCCATGACTTGGATTCTTTTCGTTGTTGCATGATCTATGCTTTGAATCTGGTCTATGCTTTAAAGCTGTGGCTTTAATTTGTGAATTGTGACATGATTTTTATTTGTAGTCTTAGCATACTTGAATCTGTTGATTATTACGTTTCCTTACCTGATTGTGTGATGTTTGGAGACTTGAATATACTCATTGCTGCATTGTCTATGATTAGAACCCATGACTTGGATTCTTTTCGTTGTTGCATGATCTATGCTTTGAATCTGGTCTATGCTTTAAAGCTGTGGCTTTAATTTGTGAATTGTGACATGATTTTTATTTACTTGAATCTGTATATTGTGTGGTCTAATGCTAAATTGAATATATTAGTTGCTTGTGTGGTCTATGCTTTGAAACTATGACTTGGCTTGGTTGTTTTGTTGTGTAATCTTTGCATACTTAAATCTGTTTGGTTATTACGTGCTTACCTGATTGTGTGATGTGTGATTTAATACTAACTCGAATATATTGGTTGTTTGCGTGGTCTATGCTTTGATTCAAAAACCATGCCATTACTAACTAACCCACGGCTTGAAATTTATGTTGACTCGAAAAGAGATTGTTATTGGTTTTTCTACAGAGATTCTCTTACTTACTTAGTGCTGCTTAGTAGTGGTTTGATGTGTAATCGTTCTTTTGTAGGAGTCTCTGATAGGTGGAGAGAACAAATCCTTGTTCCTCAATTACAGTTCTTCGTTGATCATTTTTTTTTATTTTGTCATCTCATAACCAAATACGAACAAAAACAAATACAAAAAATTAACCAAACAAGACTCAAACGAAGCCCAATAAAATAAACTTCCTTGGAATTCAAATCAACAAGTTCCCAAGTAGGACTGCAAGAAAGATCTTCATCTTCGATTCACAACCATCTTCTTATCAAAATAGACAAGCCTCCGACGGAAACCTAAGCTCCATTGACGCAGATGAGATAAACAATCGTCAGCTCCAATTTCTTCAAACTCAGACGAAAGGCACCAAGAGATATATCAATCCGAAAGCGCAATTCGTTCTTTAAAATTGAAAATCTGGTAAGCATGAAGAACGAATCCAGCCCCTTAAACAAGGTAGGATCGAAGAGTTACAAACTCAGATCGAAGGAACGAGATGAAGCAATCCGAAGCCAAATGAAGCCGAAACAAATTCAAAGTTGAAAGAGATGAAAAAGAAAAGGCAAAGCCGGACCAACACCGGAGCAAAAGCCGATTATGGCCGTGACAAAGCGGCGGGTGAAGTGGTTATCACCAACAATAAGAAAAGCAACGTGACCAAAACAAATTCAAGGCCCGAGTAATAATGTTGATCAAGTGGTTATCACCTTCGATGTAGTCCTCACTCCTCACTCGTAACCATTAATCACAACAAGAAGAATCATTGTTTCTTCTTGTGTTTTCCAACATTATGTATTAGCTCTTTGTACGATTCATGCCCATTTTTCAACATTACAACTTGATAGGAGAGGATTGTATTGTCAATCTTTCATGACACATAACCAAAAGACCAATTAATGGCAAGTAAAATAAAGTTGTAATTTTTCCCCTAAGTACCAATTAATGGCAAGTAAAATAAAGTTGAATTTTTGACTATTAAGATTTTTTTTAAAGTCATCTTGCAGTGGGAAAATTTAGTCACAATGGCACTGATTGAAACTTATTTATTACATTAACAATGCCATTGGCATTGTCCAAAAAGAATTGAAGGACAGGGACATGATAAGGAAATATAAGCTTTCCTTTTTGTTTATTACATCTCTCAAGTCTCAACCTTCATAGCTCCATAGCTCCTAAAACTTCACTGTAATGTCGATGGAAGCCACTGACCCGTAAAATAAGAGTGAAATATCTACCGGGTCTCTACAAGGCAGGAGGATTCTTTCGTGCAATGTGGCCATAAAGGCGAGAGCTCGACGACTTTCCCTATGATGATGAGTGTTGGTGACACCAATCCAGCTGACTGAATCTCAGTTGCAAAATCTTTAAGCTCAGCAAAAACCTGCACAAAATCCCAAAAGCCTTATAAACTCAAGTAACAGACGCTCTGGAAATCCCAGAGAAGAGAGTATGGTTTGGTTGCTTACTGTACGCTGTAGAGGAGTGGTTCCACGTTCGACCGCAACAGCTGGTGTATCACAAGGGAGACCATGGTCCATTAGTTTTTGTGCAAGAGAAGGTAAGGTTCCCAAACCCATATATACGACCAGTGTTGTGTCCGGATCAGCTGCATTCTCTGCTACAAACAGAGGGTCGGTCCCTCCTTTCCTTGAATGACCAGTGAGAAACCTTACACTAGTTGCAACACCGCGATGTGTTAGTGGAATCCCCAACTCTGCTGCTATCCCCGATGCCGCAGTAATCCCTGCAATCATAATCGCAAATAACTGGTAAGATAAGATAAAGTTTCACATAATAAGATCAACAGCTTTAAAGAGGTTTCTGAAGAACCTCAATGACCAATTCGGTCGCCACAATCATATGCATTCCCGAAGAATGAAATATCCACATTGATCAGATAACAAGAATGTACAGAACTCAAGCAAACAATGATGTTGCTTAGAGAATTATCATTTGATATGGTAAACAAACAAATATTACCAGGGATAACTTGAACTTGAATCCCTTGTTGTTGTAGAAAGTCCATTTCTTCCCCGCCCCGTCCAAAGACCTGACATATCCAAATAGAAGTTGCAAACACATTTAAAAAGGAGCCATACAAGAAATTAGGGAGAGTATGAGACGCAGATATAAGCTTACCAGAGGATCTCCACCTTTAAGCCTGACAACGGTGGCACCAGCTTCAGCAAAACTTAGGAGTAGTTCATGAATCTCCTCCTGCAACAAACATCAAAAGGCTTATTGCTCCGGCTAAGCAACCAATTCATTCATAAACAATGATCTTATCTGTGACAATATGATCCGGCTAAGCAATCAAAACAAGGACATAGGCGTTACCTGAGTTCTGCTATGATACCCAGCAGTTTTGCCGACATAAAGAAGTCTAGCATCAGGAGCAACCAACTCCAAGACATCATTAGAGACAAGCCTGTCGTAAAGCAAAAGATCGGCACTTTGAATAACTCTGACAGCTTTAAGAGTCAAAAGCTCAGGATCTCCTGGTCCTGTCCCAACCAGATACACATCTCCCGGTCCGCAATCACCGCCTTTGCAGCCTTTAACTCTCTTCTCTCTCAGCACAGCCAAGAGCTTCTTAAGCTCAGGCAGCTGCGATGCAATGTCGTTTTCCCTAACAAAGACCTCATCTTCGAATGGCGATGGAGATGGAGTCGATGGTGGTGTGGGTTCAACCGCCTTGTACAGCCATTGATCCCTCTGGTATCTCTCCACAGAGTGCTTCTCTGTAAAGGGTGAAGAAGAAGATGCAGTATTGTAATGTAAACAGCAAATAGGACTCGAATTGGTCCTAGCTTGTTGCCAATTTCGAACACTAGAGGAGGAAATGGGAATCCTCTGGACAAGAGCCATTCAATAACCAACAACACACACCTGCACAAGATTCATATCCATCATTAGCCTCATCATTCATGACAGCAACACCATCAAATCATCCACACCATCAAAACATCAACATCATCATAACATATAGCTAGGCAATAAGGAAATCATATGATTGGTGATAGAGAAGGATTCATCAAGGAGAACCTAGGACACCAAAAGAGCAACAAGTAGGACCAAACCCCAGATGTAATTTGACAAAAATTATTCGCTAATTTCTTCAATTGGCACAAAGCCCAGATGTAATTGACAGACCCTAACTGTGATCTGGGTCCTTAATTCTGACAAAGAGTTCAATATCAGATTCAGAAAAAGCGCTAAAACAGAGGTCGAAATAAAACGCAACTCAAAACCGAACTCAGAGAGAGAAAAGGAACAGACTTTATAGTGTCGAAGCAGAGCAGAACATAGATTACAAACTCACCACGGAACAAGAAGCCGGAGATTTGTGGTTCCGAGCAGAAACTATAAAAATGGAGATGAGAGAATTGCGGCGTCGAAGAGAGATCGGAAGAGTTTTGAAGCTGCTGAGGGTTTTGTAATATGGAGAACAAATGGCGGCTAGGAGGAGTTATGTCGGAATTTGGACGAGGAAATGGGAAGATTCAACAATGAACACACGCCTGTCTGCACAAAAGTGGAGCGTTGACACCAACTTGTGTGCTTTTGCAAATATGCACATGTTAGAGACATTTTAATTTGTAGGATTTTTGCTACTTTTTTCTGAGGACGAAAGGGCACTCTCTACAAAAAGGTTACTAACCCTTTGATGCTTTCAAGGGGAATCATCACTCTCTAGCCTCAAGTGGAGGCCAAAATCGTAATTTGCATCTAATACTTAAAATGCATTTTGAAAGTGCAGATCTTGCTGGAACAAGAAACGGTCTGTTGGAACAAGTTTGGGATTGCTTGGTTGGTGCTGACGTGGCTCGTGGAGTTGAAGATAAATATCAGAAAGATATTTAGAGAGATCAAATCAGAAGAAACGTGCAATTGAAGATATTCTTGGAGAAGAATATTATTGAAGATTTGTTTCTTTTATTTAGAAGAGGATATTTTCCTTTTGTATCGGGATAAAATCTAGGGTGACATATCTCATAGGTATATGGGTATATATACTAGGGAGATGTGTGCTGCTAGGGCTAGCCGAAAAGAGAGAGAGAAAAACGAATTGCTCTGTTTCGGTGCTTTTGTAGGCAAGTCGAGCTGCTTGCTGGAACACGGGTTTAGTTGTTCTAATACTGGGTGTAACTAGATATTGTTTGGTGTCGAACTAAGAGGTTCTTAGTGTCGTGTAATTCCAGTTAGGCAAGGTCTTGTTGTAAAGATTGTCTAAGTGAATCTAGTTATTGTTTTGAGGACGTAGGCACGTTGCCGAACCTCGTTAATTCTCGTGTGCCTTATCTATCTCTGCTTTTTCAATTGGTATCAGAGCGGGCATCTGTAAAGAGTCTGACTCCACAAACGGGTGAGGATCCTGAGGAAAGAGATGGATGATATATTTCGAGAATGGTTGGCAGTTAAAAGTCTTGCGTTAGATGCTGAAAACTATGGATATTGGAAGGTGAATATGAAGGCAATCATACAAGGTATTGATGAGGATGCTTGGACGGCTGTGGAAGATGGCTATGAAGTCCCAAAAATTGAAGAAAGAGACGGTTCTATTGTCACTAAACCAAAGGCTAAATGGACAAAGAATGAGAAGACTATGTCAAGGTATAATGCAAAAGCTTTATCTACTATTTTTACCTCGGTTAACAAGAATCAATTCAAGTTGATTCAAGGGTGTGAATCAGCCAAAGAAGCGTGGGATAAGCTAGAAAAAGTTTTTGAAGGAACAAAAAGTGTGAAGATATCAAGAATTGACAGGCTAGCTTCTCAATTTGAGAATCTACGAATGGATGAGCACGAAAATGTTACAGATTTTAGTGCTAAGCTGTGTGCGATTGCTAATGAAGCACATGTGATTGGGAAGACGTACAAAGACAAGAAGCTTGTCAAGAAGTTGATGCGATGTTTGCCTAAGAGATTCGAGGCACAAAAGGTGGCTATGGAAACTGCTTTTAACACAGATGAGACCCCATTTGATGAAATAGTTGGGAGACTACAAGCGTATGAGATGGACCAACAGGATGTCATTTCAAATAGTGTCAATAGACCAACTCTATATGAGAATGATGACAAGTTGAGAATACAAAATTTAGAAGAACCTATGAGCTCACTTGTGAAGATGTTTGGGAAACTTCTTAAAGACGTTGGAAAAAGGGGTAAGAACTCTTTGGAAAATGATCATGGCACATACAAAAATGTGGGAGAAGGAAGACGTGGTATACAGTGCCATGAATGTAGAGGATTTGGACACATCAAGTCTGCATGTCCGAGTATCAAGAAGAAGAAAAAGGTTTGTTTCTTAGGATGTAACGGTTATGGACATACAAAATCTGAGTGTGTCGACGGTGTGAAGATAAAAAGAAATATCTATGAAGACTCTAGTGAGAGTGAAACAGATGATGAAGAGGAGTTAGCCAACTTCGTGGCATTACCTTCATTCGTGGAGCACAAAGAAGGAAGCAAAATATCTGATTCTATATCAACTGCTGAAACAAGTAGCGAATACTCCAACACAAGCAGCGATTTAGAAAGCGATCAAGAGGTGGATCTTCAAGCTGAATTCAAAAGTCTTTATGAGAGTTGGGTTAAGAAAAGTAAAGACTACATGGTACTAATCGATGAGAAGATGTTGATGGAAAGTAAGATGAAGAATATCGAGAAAGAGCTAACTCTTGAGAAAGAAGAATCAGAGAAATTGAAAATCAAGCTTGCTGAAAATCAAAAGTGTTCTTGTGCTTTGAAGAATGAAGATCATGAAGTTGTTCATATGCTAAACGTGAAGGAGGAACTTGCAGCAGAAAAAGAAAAATCCAAACGGTTGGAGGATGAACTCATGCAGAATGAAAAGTACTTGAGGATGTTGAATAATGGAACAAAGAACCTAGATCAAATACTAAGCATGGGAAGAACAGAGAAAACAAGA